TCGTCAGAAAACAATAAAACAGCTCATGAAGTTATTACTAGGCTGACAGCATGAGAGAATTTTTAAAAAGTTTGCTGATTAAAGTGCATCTGAAGAAATTATGCACTCAGGAAGGTAATTAAGGTGTTGTGGTGAATAGAAGTTATGGAAGCTGGCTAGCTGTGTGGAAGCCAGTGAGTCAAAAAGGAGAATAATATAAGAAAGAACTGACAGGTAACCCCATACTACATCTTAATCACACAATTTTTTATGGCAAGATAACTCTGGAGGAACAGAGACAGCCAATGTGAAATATTAATCCTGGGGACCCGAATGACATCTAGGAGGTCTTAATGTGGATCCATGAATTTAAAGATTGATATGGGTTTTGGCCCAGCAGTGTTTAAACGTTTTCAGCCTATTTAATCTGGATTGGATCCTGATCTCTTAATCAGGTTAAGACAAGAAAAACTATTTCGGCTAAGTTACATCATGGGTTTTATGGTGTTATTGCAAATAATACAGTATTCCTCAATTATATTCAATTACCTAAGGTCTTGGAGGCCTTACCCAACATTTTTAGAGCTGAAAATGATCATTCATTAGTGGTGATGGGGAAGGCACCTCCACTCCACATCAGTTAACTTTTTGGATTTTCTGGTACTCTACAGGAAAAAAAGTAGTTGACAGTGAAAACAAAAACTAAGCTAGGTAGAACAGTAGTTGGATTTGGGGTAACTATTCTTTTATTGCTTATTTAGGTGAAATTTTGCATTTAAGACTGACTCAGAAAGATATGATCTTGCAGTGTCAGTCATCCCATCAATATCTTAACTCCATTTATTTTACTGAGGTTTTGCATTTACATTATCCTGCTGTCCACAGAACACTGTATATATCAAGATAACATTCATCAGGTGAAAACACCTGCTTTGGATTTACACAAATGAGGAGTGTGTTTCAACAGCTCCATTGCTCTTCTTTGGACATGCTCCAGCAAGTAGTTCCCAGGGTAGTTCTATCCTAGACAGTGCATGCTCTGGAGCGTGGGTAGACTGGTGCAAGTCCCAATTTGTGCACTCTGTTAGCCCAGAAGGATCTTGATCACTATCTGAGTGCAGCAGGCTTTTAGCCCCTGGACCTGGACTATTGGCAGCCCACTCCCCATGGCGACCTGCTGCCCAAACACACAGACATCCTCCCCCTTTGTCCCTGCTTTGTGCAAGTGTTATGATGGAAGTGAATCCCAGGGAGGCTGGAACCCATTCAGTCTTCTGCACTGTATGTTGCAAGTCTTGGTTGTAATGCTTTCTCTTAGGACGATGGTGTGTATGGAAAACTCAGGTAAGATGAAGGATTTTAAGCCATTTATATTTCAGCACCTCCCAGAAAGGTGTAGAAAAAACAAGGTAGATTGATTCATGATTGTTCGCATTTGGAAAAATCCCTTTTTTAAGTTAGCAGTGAAACACAGGTATAACAGTGATAGCAATTATCTCCCAGGAAAGAAATGGCTGAAGTGAACTTCTCTGTTCTTTTGAATGAAGACTTCAAACACGACTAGATGGAAAATATAACTGTGTGCAACAGGCTGTTGACATCTGACCAGGTACAACTGGATGAAATTGCATAGTATGTTAGACTTGTGGTTAGACTACAGGAACTATGGAGCTATTTGTACCTTTTGGTCTAAACCAAAATGATATCTCACATGATGGGAAGAAAGAGTCATGAGCTCCATCCTAGGAAAAGATCTGGGCAACTGTAAAAGGTCTGGTTTGAAAGCTTTCTTTAGAACCACAAAAAGGTGTTGGGTTTTTTTCACTCTGTCCAGTATTGAGTAAAACGCTGTGTTGGCAGAGAATCCTGACTTGTTCTTCCCTTGTTCTGAACTACATCTGACTCTGCCAGAGAGGACAAGTGTGCAGAAGGAATTCTTTTTCCTGTATAAAACATCTGTGCTTTAAGAGTTCATATAACACAAAAACGTACTAAAAAAAAAACAACAAAACTTCTAAGAAGAGAGGCGAAATATAAACTTTGCAAAATATTGCACAGCCACTGAATGATAAAAAAATCAGACAATTGGCATGAAATATGTGTTTCACTTATCCAGTCTGGATCTGGCCTGTGTTTCAATTGCTGTTCCTATTCCAAATGACAGAAAGCTGTTATAAATACCAGACAGGTAAGTTCTATTTGGACTTGGGAGTTAATTTGTTTGTCCAGGACTGACTAACAGTTATGGGGAAGGTTGGGCTGTACTGATGCTGGCTGGGAAGGAGTTACCTTTCTTCCTGGTGCTTCCCAGTTCCTCTCTATCATCTTCTGATTTTCCTGTAGCATTTTACAGCTCAAGCCTAATAACTTGTGACACAGAGACCTTAAAGAACCTTGAAATAAGGAACATTAGGATAAGACCTTAAGATAAGATAGGACCTTAAAATAATCTAGGACCTTAAAATAAACTAGGACCAAGGCAACACTCTGCTGGGTGGGAAGGTAGAGATGGAGAGGGGCATCCCAACCAGGGGCCTGTGGGGTTCAGCTCTCTGCTGTGGAGGGGAGACTGAAGGTGGGGTTGGAACTGCAGAATGCATTTGTAACTCAGGGTAGTAGGTGCTGCCAACCATATCTTGGGCACAAGGAAACAACCCTACCTCTCCACAATGACATAGGTAAGATAACAAGTCCTTGATAGTCTGATATGCCATGTCTTTGTTTATCTCTGAGTCCTCTCAGCTGCTGTGGAGGGGCTTCTTAAGAACAGGACATTTAGATACTTCCTCTGACCTTTCCACTGCAGACAGGAGCCATGCAGCCACTGCATGCTGGACACTGTCTCACTGCATATGGACACCTACAGTCCTCTTCCCCTTGGTACACTTCCACTGGTTGTGGCCCACAAGCCTTCCCAGAGCTAGCTGTGGCTAGCTGGGTGCTGGATTTAAAGGCAATGTGTAGACTGACAGGATATCATCATCCAGTGATGTCCCACACAGTGTAGATCTCTGAAGGACATACATATCAAAAGGGTTTTTTTTTTCTGGAATTTACCTGGCTCCCTGCAGAATACTTTAGCCTTTTGTTGTCTGTATGCTTCAAAATATCAGACAATTTCTGTCCAATTGTCCTAACAAATGAAAACAAGGTGGAACCATTTCAAGCCACCAATGAAGTTCCCAGAATCACTTGAAGTGTTCGTGCACCAGCACAAGCTAGTGACTCATCAGTTTTTGTCATTTAATGCTGTGCCAATAAGCCTCCACATTAGCTGTGCCAATAAAGATAAGCAGAGAATAATTCAGGCCTCCATGGCCTCTCCTCTCACCTTGGTGACCTAGGAATGTCCCTAGGCAACCCCACCCTGACACACTTACCAGGGAGAGGGCCTACCCGGCTGAGCCCTCCTGCATGCACGCAGCATCATCTTTTTTAGACCAATGAAGGTTTAAATCCTCATTTGATTTTATGTTTTGCCACTTCTCCCCCTGCCACCCCTTCATGTCTTCATTAAATATGTGTGAACGCCCTGAAGGTGTCATAATGTGCAGGTCAGAAGTCGGAGAGATATCGGTGACCTCAGAGGTGGCAATTGCCTGCCAGCTCTCCAAGGGGCACAGCTCTGGGACAGTTATCCGTGGATGTGGCACAGAATATCCGCAGGCAATGATTTGTTGTGAGAGGGATAAAGGAAGGTCATGGAACTTTACAGTCTGACATGCCATAAATGCAACATGACTCTGCACATACTGTTGACTTCCTTTAGAGTATTAAACACAGGTACAGGTGCCACAGATTGCAGTGCCTGTGAAGTCAGAGATTTCTGAAATCAGAGTTGTTAGCTCATACTGCTTGATTAGTGTTGAGCTACGGGTTAATGAAGAGAGGCCTCTCTGAAAGCACTGAGACACTGCAACAAAGCCTACCTGGAAGAGAACTGCTGTTGGAAGTGTAAAGCAATCCAGTGCCAATTCCAGTGAAGCAGTTTGGGCTGGGTCACACTACCTGATAGCTGGGACCAGCTCACAGTACACCAAGGCAGAGTTACTATGAATCTTGATGTGTTGTGAGCTCTACATCCACCTTCCAAACAGATTTTTTTCAGAACCACATAGAAGCCCGGGGTTAGGTTCTTAAACTGCCAGCATCCAGACACTGAGGTGCCCTAATTTCCCAAACAGTCTGAGCACTCATGCTGCATCCAACTATTTTGCAGGTTGTCTCTATTAAATAGCTCTTGATCATAGACTTAGATGAGACGCTGCAGTTGTAATATTAAAATAAGTAGGGACTTCATTGAAATCCTTGAAGTGAAATTCTTCAGTTCTCCCAAGTGCATCAAGTAAAGCTAAATGCTTTCTCTTTATCATTTAAGGGCGTGATCAGTTCACCAGACAACCTGGATCTAACATGTCAGTTCACCTGGAACGACCACGAATTGGAGCCATTTCAGTTCTTAGCCATCACCCTCTTCCCCACAGTACACTATGATGTCTGCAGTGGGGTGGCAAGATTCCCAGAAAATCTCAGAAGTGGTTTAAAATGGCGGCACATCCCAAAGAGAAAATGACTCAGGGGATGATTCTGGAGGTGGTCCAAGATGTGCACCAAGGTAAGGGTGGGGTCTCAGTGTATGTGTCAGGACCAGCAATCACATCATCCCTCTCCGTGGAATGAGGAGTTGTGGGATGCAGGAAGAGTCACTGCACCAAAGCAGAGAACAAAAAGATATCTATGGATGTGAACAGTTCCATAAGCTGTGGCTACTCCATCCCTGGAAATGTTCAAGGCCAGGTTGGATGTGGCTCTGAGCAACCTGGTCTAGTGAAAGTTGTCCCTGCCCACAGCAGGGGCATGGAATGAGTTATCTTTAAGGTCCCTTCCAACCCAAACCATTCTGTGATTCTGTGAATGCAAAGGCTGGACAGTGTGATCCCTACAGAAAAGATTATTGTGTTCAGATCACTGTGGAGGCATGGAAAAGAGACTGGGGCTGTGGAAAGGACTACACAGCTTACCTGTAACCATGGATTTCCCAGCTGATCTTCTGTCTTGGAGATGACTCTTGCACCCTCTGTAACAGCAGATATGTTTGATATTCTGCACTGAAATGGTCTTGAAAGTTGTTGCTCTGTCATCATGGCTGCAGAGCCTCTGTGCAAATTTTACACAGATGCATGAGGACAATCTTTGTGCACATAACTTCTATTAATTTCAGGTATCTGGTCTATCTGGTGGAGCACTGGAGCAATAAAACCTTATGACTGGCCAGGTCAATTTTACCTCTCCATTCATTATGACAAGACTGAAATATTTCACAGCTTCAGGACATTTCAAAAAATGATAAACCTGATGCTTGACAGTGTTAGCTAAAAACATTCAGAACCCTGTGGATGCACATCCAAATTTTGACTTGTGTAGCCAACACATATGACTTTGTCTGCATATTTTCCACAATGACACAATATCTTTTAGTATGTGCTGCCTGAGACTGCTGGAAATTATATAATTTTTCTAATCTTTAATGGTTTTAAGTAGTTGTTTTAATTAATCATAAGTAGTGTGTTAAGTCTTAAGTCACTTTTAGTTAGCATTTAGCAAAGTTGTCATAAGCTGCTATTGTGGGAACACAGCTTGGGAAAATTACTTTATCAAAATTTTAAGTTTTGATAAATGAACTCTGTTTAACCATTGAACATTAATTTGTTTGCTAAAAATGTATAAATAGGTTAAAAGGTTTTGTATCAGTGTCTGTGTGGAGGCCAGAATTTTGTCGGCCACACACACATCTCCTGACTAAGAATAAAGTAATGCCTCACTGATTAACACTAAAAAGGCAGTGTTAGAGGGTTTTAGTTATCCCGATGATTTCAGACGATTTGGCAACAAGATGAGTTTGGAGGGGAACAGAGATTGGCCTCAGGATGGTGATCCTGAATTGGAGGTTGAAGGCTAGAAGCAGGAACAGAACAGTCAAATTTTTCAGTCATTTAAAGCAACAGAAAGAAGTTACTTACCCAGACAAAGATATGGATGGGAGAAGGTAAGTCACACGTGGAGACAGGAGGAGCTGGACTGAAGCAGCCCAGGAGTGCAGAGTCCAACTGCCCAGTTGTATTTTGCTCAAATCATGGAAAACCCCCAAACTCCGGGTTTAGCACTGACTGTCTTGCCAGAAAATATCTGTGAGACCTGCTGCTAACGTGTGTACTCCATTGATAAGGATAGCAGGGCCAGAAACCAGGACAAGGACAGCTTGACATTGGGAGAACCTCCTCAGAACCTGTTGCAGAAATAAGGAGATATATACATATATATCAGGCACTATATACTGGAATCCTAGTGTGTGTATATATATTTACACACCTGGTATGTATAAATAGATATATAGAGATACATAGATATAGATACCAATAAAGAAGAAAATCAAAGTTGCATGAAGAATTTGGCATGGTCTTCTTTAAACCTGTGCTCCTTTTGGATAATGTAGCTATGTGCTTTTAATGGCAATGTAGTTAGCATATTTTTAATAATAGCTTTTTCCTGCAAGATGCTGAATACTCTCTTTTTCCATAAGATGTTGCAATTCAGGATACCGTACCCTTGCAGGGATGGGCCTTATTTTTCAGGTATAGATAGCATTTGAGAAGGAGAAATTTTAACTTCATTCCCCTGGATTACCATTATACATGCTGAAAAGATAAGCTAGTACAGAAAATAATTGAGATGAGTTAAAAGAATTGCAATTTTCTTGGCTACTGTATAGCTTCTGTTTTACACCTTAGCGATTTCTGTTGTGAATGATTAATTCAGGTCCAAGTCATTAGATTAGGCAAATGCGCTGACTAAAAATATAACAGGAATGCAGGAGGAAACGAAAGGGAATAAGCATAGTAAATATGCAAAACATTTTACAATAAGATTATTTCTGCCAGGTCAAGGCAATAAAGTTTTACGAGCTTGGGCGACACGTATATGGCAGGAATGATGACAGCAAAATAAACCTTGGAAGTCTCCGTCTTCAGATCAATAGAGACACTCGGGATAACACGGAAACAGGTGTCTTTATGTCTTCGAACGTGCTTAGTATACCTGAAGTGACCCAAGTGAAATCTGTTGACAGAGCATAGATTTTTAAGGACTTACGCCTTCAGGTATGAAGCAATGGCTTAGGTGTTCCTCTGGGAGCGAGAGGAAAATGTTGAGCTCCTCAGCACTGAGAGATTCCAGAACTCCTACCTGATCACCAGTATCCAAGTGTTTCTTATACCCTCCTGGAAAGACTCCTTCATCTCCTCTCACCCCTAGTGATAGGGAACATCTCTCTGCAGCATATTTTCCATTATTTCAACCCCACCTGGCCCTGCACAACTGGAACTCAGTTTACTGATGGTGCAGGGCACATTTTGCAGGTGACAACTGTTTAGGGGCAACTTTACAGGCAATACAGGTGAGAACATCACTTCTCTTTGATGGCAGGCTGTCAATACTGCAGGTAAAAGAAAGAAGGGGAAAAAATCAATCTTACATGGCTGGCTTTTCAGGACATTGGATTAGAAAGAAGCAAGTACAGAAGCTGGTAACTATCCTTACTCCTTGTGAGTAATCCTTACTGCTCAGGTGTTTCTTGGAAGTGTATGTCTATTTATTAACTTCTTACCAGGTATTGTAGAAATACATCTGGTAGTCAGCTCCAAAGACCAACCCCAAGTTGTTATTTATGATAAAAAAAAAAAAAAGAACTGGAACATTGGTAAACTCGGGAAATTCCTGAAAGTTTGCTTCATTTTAAAGCAATATTTGCATGAAGGTTCTCAAGTTGAAGATATTGAAGGGTCTCAGCTGAATACGTTGTAGGAGGCTTTCAGTAGGAATAGTGAAGCCACTTGGTGTTTGAGGGAAAGAATGTGAAAAAGAATAAATTAAATTGTGGCCATTGAAAGGAAAATTGAAAATACTAAGCATTGTAAAATGTTTTGATTCAAAACTGAGCTATTTATTTTACTGTGATACATTCACAATGCTTAAGGTCACGTTAAATAAAAATGGACCTTTCAGTTTAAAACATTAATGACAATTTCCACAGATTCAAACTTTTTCAAAAATACCCCCAGCCATTTGAAACCAGGTAATTAATGGAGAACTGCCTCTTTCCTGAAAGTGGCTTTTATTTTTATGAATCTGCATATTCTGGGGAAAGATTTAAAAGTCTCCAACTACTTCTAGGCATGAAATAAGCAGGATTCAAGCCAATGTTAAATATCTATTTTAAGTTTGTGACTTTTGCTGTCTATATTTTCTTATGGAGACATATGACATCTTAAAAAATGTTATTACCTCTAAGGGCCTCTGTTCTTAAGATTCCTCAAGCTGAAATTAGAAAATCTTCAAAATACTGGTTGCTTAACTTCACAAGATCCAAGTGTTTGGAATTGATTTGCATGTTTGAAATTTCAGGCTGTTGCATATTTGATAAAATGAAACAAAAATATTTCATTCACATAAAATAAGACATTGTTTTTGTATCAATAAAAAGCACTTTAAGATACAGCTTCCAATGAAGTATAACTTACAGCATAATCATATTAAGCATATTTTAAGGCAGCATATAGTATTAATTCTTGTCATTTTCCACAATTACTTTTTAACTATTACCTCATTACTTTATCTGGAGAGCCAGTAAATTACAAACAATGTGCATTTTTTCATGACTCTGCATTTCAGTTATTTATTAAGTTGTCTCTAATATGTCAGTTGCCTTTATCAACTACTGGAAAAATCAATATCTGATAGGACTTCACAGCGTGTAGCAAAGTATATAAGCATGAGGTTTATATTGCTCAGTCTCAATTTGTCACTTCAGACCATCTGACTAAGAAGTGCCTCTTAAATCCTCATCATTTCCTTGTTATCTGATTTGCAGGAATCCAAGACTTAAGCAACCATGTCCAACTCCACTGAGGCAGAACTCATACACATGTTTAAGGGAATTCCCTTTACCACCAGGTCTTCTCCAGAACTTTTAAAATCCTTGGATACTTTTGATGCTAGAGAAGATGATGTCCTTTTGGTTTCCTATCCCAAATCAGGTAAGTTCTAGTTTTAAATGTTAGTTGCAGTAAGTCTCAGTTGTGTGTTTCATGTTCTCTGCTTAAACTATTTGGGAAATATCTGTGTAGAAGAAACAGGAAAGGATGTTTGAGTGTGTGAATATATTATGCTGTCAGTAAATGTTAAAATTACAAGAAATATGGTCATTTACCTACATTTTGATTCTGTAATTGAAAATAATCTCAGGTGTTTTCATATTGGAATGCAAATAAATAGTCCTTACTTGTAAGCAACACCTGTACTTGAAAGATTTTCCTGAGGACTTTCTATATTCAATTATGAGCAAGTCAAGAGTTGTATTAAGTTATTTGTATGGCTCTTGGCTGTAGATTTATTAATTTCTTATCCCCTCTCCACCTGCCTCTCTTGCACAGAGAAGCACACACCAAAGGGGAAGCTTAATCAGTACTTTCCAAATATACAGACTCAAGTTACTATAAGAAAAAAATCAAACAAAACAAGTTATTCTAAAATAAATGATAAAAATAATATAACCACCTCTCAGCTGACAAGCAGTTTATCTAATGAGGTTGTTTTTGGTACTGTTATTAACACTTCTCACAGAGTTACTTTGTACTTCAGCTATAACCCTAATTTTTCAAGTGTTTATTTATTTGGAGCCAATGGAATTATTCAGTCATGTAAAGTTTCTTGAATCTGGGCGAGTAGAAGTATCATTTGTTCACTAGTAATCTGTTTCCATATGAAAAATGCATGTCTCATATATCCTCTTGATAATAAATATTTTTTTTCTTGTTTGCTATTTTTCTTAAAATTACTTTTCTGCAGGCACCCACTGGCTTGCAGGAGTTATAACAAAGCTTTACGATACTGAAGTTACAATAACATCTCCCATTGAATTTGGAGACATTTCCAAACTGGAGGAGCTGAATAATCTCTCAACAAAGAGAATCATTCCAACACACTTAGACTACAACATGTTACCTCCAAATTTTAAGAAAAAGAAATGCAAGGTAAGGCAAAAGTTACGTAAAAGCTGTAAGACATGTTAAGTGTCTATTAGGAGTATATTTTGTCCTGTTGATCCTTAATAATTTTGGAATGATTTACAGTTTCCAGAAGTGGTTTGCTGTGAATTTTGGAGCCACAGCTGATCAGCAGTCAAAGGCAGCATGAGCAGAGACTTGGACTAGGGACTGGTTTCTGCTCCTGCCCCACTGCTCTCATGGGGCAATTTGTATACCAGGCACCACACAAAATAGAACATCAACACCTTTCAATCATAAATCTCTCATTAGGGATGGAGGGTTTCTCATGGCCTCATTTCCTAGTGTCTTAGAAAATAGTTACCTTGGGTACTTACAGTCTGTACTGGAGTTGAAAATACTCTGCACCTCCTGCTGAAGCTTTATGAAGAACCCATAAAGATTTTGGGAGAACAAAAGAGATTTGAAACATGGGAGGCAGATTCAGATCACAGTTTTGAGTTCACAGAATCATAGAATCACCTGGGTTGGGAGGGACCTTAAAGATCATCTAGTTCCAACCCCCATGCTGTGGGCAGGGACACCTCCCACTAAACCAGTACCTGCTGTGCTAATGTGGGAGGTCTTTAAAAATAAGCTCTGGGTCTCAGATTTTTTTATTGAAAATCTAAAATTTCAGGATAACTCAGATACAGACTTTTGGGACAAAGCAAATTTGAATGAAAAGCCAAAATTTATGTTTTGCAGCTGTCCTGTGAATGTTAATTAGTAAATGTTTTCATACATGAGATATATGAGATAGTAAACTGACTCATGAGTTAAAGTTAACCCAGGCTCTTTCATAAAACGTAAACATTACCCAGCTGTGGCAAACACACCTCTTTCCACATGGAATTGTTTACTAACCACTACAGACTCCTGCCTAAGAAGAGACAAATACATTTTTAATTTAATGGCATAGTCACTGAAGGAGGAATCCTAAAGGAAAGGGGTTTGACACTGCCAACTGCCTGTGAAAATGCTATATTTACACACAGAGCTTCTCTAAAACAAAGGAAGGATATTATCATTAATAAATATATCATCTTCATTTACAGATGATCTACATCAGCAGAAATCCCAAAGACACTGCTGTTTCCATGTATCATTACTACAGAGATAACCCAAACCTTCCCACTGTAGATACCTGGACTGCTTTCTTTGACTTGTTCTTAAAAGGGAATGGTAAGAATAAATGTTTTCTCCTTGCATTTTACATTAGCTTATTATGGACAGAAAGAGTTAAGAAATGTGAACTGTGTGACAACTCCTTATTGAACTCCTTATTCATATGGCATTAGCTGGGGGGACTGGGAGTGTCAGGATAAATTCTAATGCCAAACCAAACAAGAGCAAATAACAGGATGCCCTCTTCAGCCCTGCAGTGAGACATTTTGATAAGCAGCTGCATCATTTCAGCACGAGTGCTCTTTGCAGGTTCTTGCTGTTCTTTACACACCTGTTAAAAACCCTATTCTCCCAGAAAAGACAATGATTTCTTTCCCTGAACACCCTGCAACCTCAGACTATTTGTTGATTCCGACGTGGATTCGCCCTGTGTCAAAAGTTTTCCAGCCTTGACTTGTGAACCTCAGTAGCAGACTGCTTCCCCCCAATAATTTACGTGTAAGCTATGACAGGGGAGGTATGTGTACCCAGCTCCTCCGAGCAGATGCAGGGTAGCTGAGCTGGCTACAGCCCGCCCCTGTCCTGGGCGGGGCGGGTGCTCTCTTACAAGAAGCTCAGCCGGCCCTACATGTGCCCAAGTGCAGGAAAAGGGCATGGGAGGGCACAGTCTACCAGGCTGCACCAATAGTCTAGTGTCTTCCCCAGTCTTGAAACCGGCAGCCCTTCAAAGGAGTCTGGACGTGTTCGTAAAGCCCTCCTGCACACACTCTTGCCTGATATGTTGTGTTAGTAGCAGGGTCCGAAGATCAAGGACAAGAGGGAGATTTTTATGAGTGGTGGGATGGAAGTTAACAAGAGGACCTTGTTCACTTTATCCACTCCCATTTTTAGTGTTTTATTAGTCCTTTGAGGAGTAAAGTGTCACCCTAGTGATGATAACAGCAGTAATGATTGATCAGCTTGAGAACTTTGAAAGCAAAGTGCCACTGCAGTCATCATGGGCTCACGTCAGAGCTCCAGAAGTCAATCTGCTCACTGCCTTCTCTGGGCTTGGGCTCAGATCTTGTTTTCCTGAATCAGAGCAGGCATGTTCTTCAGTGATTTGCAGGATCTTGGCTTATTTAATATGAACTCTGAACATACAACAGTAGAAAAAAAAGAAAAGAGGATTGTATTCAGGGCCAGGTTGGATGGGGCTTTGAGCAGCCTGGTCTAGTGGAAGATGTCTGTGCCTATGGTGGGGGGGTTGGAACTAAATGATCTTTAAAGACCACTCCAACCCAAATCATTCTGTGATTTTATGATTAAATTATAAAAGCATCTCCTATTTACCTCCAAATTATTAGCCACCTTCTATTTTCTGAGTCCTTGCCCATGGCATAAATAGATAATTATGTTTGTTACATCAGAAATTTAGGTAAGAGGTGATGTGGAGGAAAAGGTCATTTTCACTTCTAATTTCACTCTGAATGTCATTTTCACTTCTAATAAAAACATAAGACTGTTGTGCTGCTTGATTCAAACCCTGCAGTACTCTTGCATAACAGCAGCTCAAAACAAGGGTTAAGGCACAGAGGGACAACTGTGGTGCCATCCCCAGAGTCTCCAAGGCTGTATGCTGTACTCCTGAATCCAACAGGGCTATGCTATTGTTGGCCACATGCCCAGGGTGGCTGACCAGGAGAGCAGGGTCTAATTGCACACCATGGAGCACACGTGCCTTGCACTCAAAAACTGCTTTATGTGCTGGAGAGGGCTACAGACTGGAGCATTCAGCTTAATTATAAGTATTAGTTATAATTACTGCTTAATTATAACTCACAATTTGCAACCAAAATGTTGGTCATTACAAGATTATACTGTTGTGGTGGTGCTTATAAAAGCAAAGTCACAGTCTGGGAGAATCACAGGCTGTGATTGCTCTGTCCAGGCCTCTTCTCATCGCCCTACAAAGAGGCTTTCATCTTCCCTTTCAGCTGGAAAGGTCAGAATGTTGTTTTGTAGAATAAAGATGAAATTTAGCTGTCCTCCCATGGTCCAGGAAAAGGAGCATTCAGGCAAAACAAGCACTGTGGCTCAGTTATAAACCATTTTATCTGTTTCATTGGCTGAACGATGTATTTGCATAAGTTCTTTACATAATCCTTCTTTGGTGTTTAAAAATTATACAGATTCCCTTCTGCTGAGACAAAAGAGAGCTGACAACAGTGTGCTCCATTTAAGAGAGTCCTTATTTCATTTCCTGGTGAAGTGATTATATTTCTAGCTGTGACCACAGACACGCAGTCATTTGCTGAGATGCTCAGATCTTGTTAGGCGGGTATATTTTCCTTCATTATTGGCCTTTCCTTAGATTTGGAGTCTGTTTCTACTACAGAATTGTATCTCAGAATAGTCTCTGATATGAAAACAAATTCCAACAAGAATGGTAACCTCTTTGAATGTCACTTTTGTAAGTTTGAGTCACTTGGCACAAAGAATTGCATTTGTTTTAGAGGGATATGGGGTATATATTATGAAGGGATCATTCTCCTAAATGTGGGAGATACCACCACAATTATTTATGAATAAAGTTTATCTGAATGACTTTTACATGGGTTTTCTTTTCAGTTGTCTGTGGATCCTGGTTTGATCATTTCCTAAGTTGGGAAGAACATGAAGATGACAAAAACATCTTATTTTTGTTCTATGAAGACATGAAGAAGGTAAATATGCTCTCTGCACTTGGTTCAGAATGCATTACTTGTAAATTAGCATCATTAAAATATCAAAGAGGAAATTATAATGAAAAAGGAGAAAGAAAAAAATGTGAATGTATGTCTTTGGGCATATTTTGCATTTGCATAGAATTTTATATTAGTGAACTAATTCTGACTGCACAAGTTATATAAATATCAAACCCTGTGAGAGTTACATTTCTTGCATGCAGGAATGGGACTCATATTACATAATTTTCTCCAGGCTATAAGGGAGAATTTTAAGTTCCTCTTTCTTGGTCCTACGGAAAGACCAAGGACATCTGTTGAGGGCCACACATTGACTTGCTATGTCTGACATTTCCAGTGAAATTTTCAAAAAGTGATGTAAGACAACAGAACTACTCACAGTCTCATGGTACTTGTATTCCCAATAAACAAGAAAATTAAAGACTGAAAGGGTAGGAAAACAGTTTGGTGAAAGGAAATTATGCAGACACTGCTTTGCTGTTCTTAAAAAAAAAAAAAAAAAAGTAAAAGATTTTAGCTTTCAAAGAATGAATTTTTGAGTGAACAACCTTTGTCTCCTGGGTAGTTTCCGAGTGGCCAGAAAAATAGAGGAAATTTATAAATAAAAGAATAATAAAAAATCCCCACATTTTTCCTGC